TCAACAGCAATTTCTTCCATTTACATCAGCGGGAATGGTGGATTAATTTGAAACCGACACTGACTCACAGAGAAGGTGCACATCGCGCGGGTTTTAGTCATCCAGGGTCGCGTGAACATCTCTTGCTAAGCTCGAAATCAATATGTGTTGCCACTTTCTCCCTCTTGTAATTTTGATGATGATGTGTGATTTCTAAAAACTTTCGTTTTCTGATATTTGTCATTCAATGAATCCAGTAGCTCACTAATTAAAAATAAATCTGAGCATATACTAGTATTCCCTCCCACCATCAACTGGCCCGGGAATGTGTATATCTTGAGTGTCATACAAACTGGGTTGAGAAATGAAATTATTCATTCAAATATAAGCGGTTGTTAAATTTCCGGCCAATTATTACGTGGACAAATAATAGACATTTACATATAGACGTACAACAATGATTTCCATCGCGTGCAGAACATTTTTTACATCCTTTCATCGTCAGATACTTGTACACGAAGTGCACTCAAAAGGAAACGGAAATACAAACTCCTGTGCGTGTACACTACATATTATTATTCAAATATCGTACTCTGTATGAACAACCCGATGTACCAAACTATAAAATGATGCACTAGAATATTTAGTTTCCCGCTTATGCCCTGTGTGATTCGCGTTTTATGTTGAGGGTTTGTGGTCTCTCTATAGTAACTGTGTGTAAACTGACTTCTTACTATATAGTCAAACTTGTATCCACAAACTCACAATGCCTCACCAACTGCACAGAAATGTTTCAAGCTTTTATAAATCCTTAGCAACACCGCTTTTGCAAACACTACACGCAGAATGTCTATACCATAACAACGTTGCCGCGATATAATATAAATGGGCCGTGTGCGAGCTCCCGCTTGCGGTGGTTCCCCGGAAGCGGGCTCAATTTCAATTCCCTGTTCGTATCTGAACTGTGAATGGAATTACGACGCTTACTACTGTTTTAATTATCTCAGTAGATCCTTCTGGTATTTGATTCATGATAACGTGAATATATCATTTTACAGCGACTTAAAGGGCGGTAGTCGTCGCGCCACGCATGTGCGAGATATATGGGTCTCATATAAACAAAAATGGCGACTTTGACTTTTGCACAGACCAACGATTACGAACTGAGACGTTTCCAAGCTTTAATTTGGTATTTGTTAGGTGTTTGAAAGGTATCGAAGGAGTCACCGGCGGTACTTAGTGCAAGTCAATGTTTATCAACACAAATGTCGCACATGCGCAGCGCGACAACTGCCGCCCTTTAAATCAAACTACAAATAAATTAAATTACTAGTACATTAAAAGTATTCTAGTTTATCTAGTATTACCACAACTCACGGTTACCTGCCAATATGTGAGGTACCATCCCCTGACCACTATTACGTCATCAAATGTTGAGACTGTGGATGGGTAATGGGAAATTAACTGTATAATATGAATTTAAGCAAGCTTCTTAAATTAAGTTAGATTTGCAAACAATATACTGTGTTTGTTCTTGAAGGTCAACTGCAAAATGC